AAGAAGAAGAAGGAAGGAAGGAAGGAAGGAAGAAGGAGGAAGAGGAAGGAAGGAAGAAGGAAGGAAGGAGAAGAAGGGAAGAAAGAAGAAGGAAGAAGAAGAAGGCAGAAAGAAAAAAGGAAGGAAGGAAGGAGGCAGCAGAGGCAGCAGTGGGGTGGCTGTGGCTAGGGCTGGATGGCCCCCTCCCTCCCCCCCTCCCTCCCTCCCCCCAAAAGCAGGACTTTGGGGAAAAGGGTGGGGAGGGGGTGGGTCGAGCCCATGGAGGGGGGAGGCCAGGGAGGAGGGACCTGAGGGAAGGCAGGGATTGAGGCAGGGCCCCCAGGCATCGTCCTCTTTCCCCAGGACATGGCCTACATTTCAACCTTCTGGACAGGAAGGAGGACTTCCCAAATGTCCTCCATTTTGAGCATCACTAAGAAGCACACATTTAGACTCGTAGGAGCATTTCCTCAGAATCCCATAGCATCGAGCCATGACAGTTACAAGTGGTGTCAAACCAGATTATTTCTGCAGTGCGGATGCAGCCTATAGCAAAGCCTTTGACTGCATAGATCATGAAAGGCTATGGAAGGCCCTTAAAGACATGATGGGAGTGCCAACACATCTGATAGTCCTGATGAGGAGGAATCTGAACTCAGGACAAGAGGCTACTCTCAGGACAGAAGACGGAGAAACAGAAAGGTTCCCATTTGGCAAAGGAGACAGACAAGGCTGCATTCTTTCATCCTATCTGTTCAAATTGTATGCAGAACATATTATAAAAAAGCAGGCTTGGACACAGAAGGAGGAGGAGTGAAAATAGGAGGAAGGAATATCAGCAATCTGAGATATGCTGATAGCACCATAACACTAGCAGAGAACCTCACAGACCTGGAACAACAACTAAGGAAGATCCAAGAAGAAAGTGCAAAGGCAGGCTTAGTGTTGAAAATAAAGAAAGCAAAAATAATGACCACCAAGTCATCAACGAGGAAATCAAAATAGGTAAAGAGTTCCTATACCTTGGATCAAACACTGATCAGGATGGAGACTGTAGTCAAGAAATTAGAAGACTGGGAATGGAAAGGACAGCTATAAAAGAACTAGAAAAGATCCTAAAATGCAAAGACATACAACTCAGCCCAAAAGTCAGGATCATACAAGAAGCCATTGTATTCCCTATTATTCCCATGGATGGATGGGAGAGCTGGACAGTCAAGAAAGATGATAGGAAGAAAACCAATGCCTTTGAGAGAATGTGGGGCTGGAGAACATTGCTGAGGAGGATCCCATGGAGGACAGCCAAAAGGACCAACAAAGGGGTCCTGGAGCAGAACAAGCCAGAAACCTCCCTGGAAGAAGAAGCCAAGATGACCAAACTGAGTCTGTCGTACTTTGGACATGTCATGAGAAGAGAGGATTTACTGGAAAAGACAGCAATGCTAGTAAAGGTAGAGGGAAGTCGAAAGAAAGGAAGGCTAGACACAAGATGGATGGACTCTATTACGGGTCCTGGGTATGAATCTACAAGGTCTTAGCAGAGCCATGGAGGCCAAGGGGTCTTGGAGAGGCCTCATCCATAGGGTCACCATGATTGTTTTGGATGGGGTGCAAAGGGGTTAGAGACTAGCTCTCGGCCCCAAAAGAGACAGCAGCCATGGGCATAAGCCATGACTCCATGCATCGCTAAGAGGATGCTGCTGCCCATCATCCTCCTTGCCATTCCCTACAATGGTGTTTGCACGCTGCGCACCTTGGCTGTCCCTCTGCGGGCGCGTGTGCCACGGCCAATTTCCCATAGTGCTCCAGCTCGCCTTGGGCCACCCAACCTCTGCCCCTCCCCTGCTGTGTTTCTGTTCTGCCCAAATGCATAAAGCAGGTCAGAATGATTATTTTCTGGGAATCTGGGGCAGCCGCCACCCTCCTGCGGTCCCTTGGCCAAGCTGGTGCCCAGCCAACAGCCTTCATGTTGGGTTGTGATGATGTCCCCTCCTGCTGTGTGAGCACCGACTGGGTGGCCTCCACATCCAGAATGGAGCCACAGAGCGGAGGAAGAGGTTGCCATGCTGGGGATGTCTTTTTTACACGTGTGCGAGTAGTCGCTGGTCTTTAAGAGGGGGCCCTTTGTACTACACAGCCCACAGCAACAACGCAAAGGGGGCTGTGTTGACCTCTATCGGTGTGGGCATAGTGTGGCCTTTGGACCTCACTTTTATGGCCTCTGAAGCTTCACCAGTCTCCTGTCCCATTAAAGGAATGTGTAACTTTCAGTGTTCGCTTGCAAATTATGAGGGACACCCCCAAATGTGGGAGGACACATGGAAATACCCATCTTCACAAGCAACAACATTCTATACTATATAACTTTAGTTCTCTTCTGCAGTTCCTCTCAAAATGGCAGCAGTCGCAATTTTGAGAAGGACTGCAGTGGAAAAAATATATTTGGCTTGCCATATAGAGGGTTACAGCCTATGGGGGGGGGGATCTGGGGATCAAATTGATCCCTGGTCCCTAAGCACTTGTCTATGCCTGATCTCCCTACCTCTCTCTATGCATGTATGTATGTATGTCTGTCTGTCTGCAAAGGGCTCTTGTAGCACCTTTGAGATGGAGTGAGTGAAATAAGTTACAGCATTAGACTTGGTCTACTTTGTCAGATCATCTTGCATCTGAGGAAGCAGACTAAAGTCTATGAAAGCTTATGGCATAGCTTCCTTTGCTCAGTTAATCTCAACGGTGCTACTAGATCCCTTGCATACTGATTTTTCTAACTAACGTGGCTATGTCTCTGAAATCTGTCTGTGTTCTCCTCCTCCTCCTCCTCCTCCAGGACCAGGTCTTTGGCCTCTTGACCAGTCAAGATCAAGCCAGCTCCAAATGACTTGGATTACTATAAGGAAGACTCATTGCAAGAGACTGTCACTGGGGAAATAAATGCCTTGCCCTCCCACAGTGGTGAGCATTGCAGCCAAACCCAGACGAAACAGGGAAGCAGCTCTCTCTGATAACCAAAATGGTCCAGGGATTTGACAGGACTTGCCATTGTAGGAAAAGGAGGGGAAAGCGCAGTTTTCTCCTCCATCAATTCAAGATGTTGGCCAAGAGCTCCCCTTTCTGCACCCAGGACTTCTTTCTTCCTCTCCTGCTATCTTTCTCCTTCTCTGCACCATTGAGATATTCCAAGTTCCCAGTCCTCAGGTTTACCACAACTCTTTCCCTGCCATCACTTTCTCCAGTTTCCCTTCTACCAAAGGGCCTTTGAGCTTACAGTTGTAAACCGCTTAGACATCCCATAGCGCGATATGAAGCGGTATATAAATGAAGCTGCTTTGCTTTGCCTCTCTTCTGACAATCCAATGTCTCTCCTCCAGGGAACAAACAATTAGAATAAGAGATCCATAGAGTCATGTTGTTGTGTGCCTTCAAGTCATTTCCATCTTATGATGACCCTGAGGTGAACCTATTATTGGGGTTCCTTGGCAAGATTTGTTGAGAGGAGGTTTGCCATTGCCTTTCCCTGAGGCTGAGAGCATGTGACTTGTCCAAGGTCACCCAGTGGGTTTCCATGGCTGAGCCGGTATTTGAACCCTGGTCTCCAGAGCCATAGTCCAACGCTCAAACCACTAAGCCCCCCTGGCTCTCTCATAGAGGATTAGAACCAGTTTCCTCTGCTTTGGTCAGACCTCCCCTGGACTCCTGTGTCCAGTTCTGGGCCCCACAATTCAAGAAGGAAGCGGACAAGGCGGAGCGTGTCCAAAGGAGGGCGACCAAAAGGGTGAAGGGTCTGGAAACCCCCAAGCCCTCCCTATAAGAAGTGGCTTAGGGAGCTGGGGATGTTGAGGTTAAGCAGTGACCTGTTAAAATAGTTGAAGGGATTTCATATTGAGGAGGGAGCAAGCTTGTTTTCTGCTGCTCCAGAGAATAGCACACAATGGAGCAATGGATTCAGAGTACAGGAAAAGAGATTCCAATGCAAAATTAGGAGGAACTTCCTTATAGTAAGAACTGTTTGACAGTGGGAGCCGTTCCCTCGGAGTGTGGCGGGTCTCTGGTTTTAAGCAAAGGCTGGATGGCCATTGGTTACAGGGAGGGCTTGGATGGTGTCTTCCTGCCTGGCAGAATGGGGTTCGACTGGATGGCCCTTGGGGTCCCCTCCAACTTTTATCATTCTGATTCTACAATAAGCCCTTCTGCAACAGCCAGCATGAGGACAGGACCCTGTCCAGATAAAAAGGCTTTTGCCTGTTGGCCGAAGGAAAGGAAAGGGGGAACCAGGCCATCCTCTTGTGGGAGGGAGTTCCACAGTCCAAAGGGCAGCCGCTGAGAATGCCCCTTCCTTAAAAACAAGTGTGAGGGTGGCAGGACTGAGAGAGAGCATTTCCTCTAGGCTCCCAAACACACTGCAGAAATAATCCACCTTGAGACCACTTTAACTGCCCTGGCTCAGTGCTAGGGGATTTTGGGAACTGTAGTTTATTATGGCCCCAGACCTCTTTCGCAGAGAAGGCTAAATGTCTCACAAAATTACAGTTCCCAGAATCCCCTAGCATTGAGCCAGGGCAGTTAAAGCGGTCTCAAACTAGATTATTTCTGCAGTGTGTTTTGGTCCTACCTTGAAGATCCCAGAAGATGGGCAGGCTCCTAGAGGGAGATGTTGTTGTTGTTCTTGTTGTGTGCCTTCAAATCATTTCCAGCTTACGGTGAGCCTTGGTCTACTTCATCAGATCATCTGGCATCTAGTGATAAAGGGAACTTATCAGGAGTTTTCTTGGCAAGATTTGTTCAGAGGAGGTTTGTCCTTGCCTTCCTCTGAGGCTGAGAGAGTGTGACTTGCCCAAGGTTGCTCAGTGGGTTTCCATGGCTGAGCTGGGAATTGAACCCTGGTCTCCAGAGTCGTAGTCCAAACCTCGAACCACTACGCCATACTGTCCCTTGAGCTGTCCAGGGCTTTCCAGGACACGTCCAGCAGCCCTGAATTGTGCTGAGGGTCAGTGTGCTGCATGAGAGAAAGAGGAGCAAAGAAAAGCAAGATGAGGCCAGGTAGACTTTGTGAGGAGGACGATGGGCCCTGGAGTACTGGCCACCCAAGCAAGGCAAAGAAGAGCTGCCAACCACAGCCATTTCAAGTCTGACTCGTGGAGGAATGGATGAGGGCAGAGTTTTGATTTTCTGGCCAAGTTTAACATTCATGTTGCTGACACGGTCCTCAGGCTCTCCTCGCTTGTGGGCCAGATCCACCGGCTGGACATGAGCCAGAGAGAGCGCCCAGCCTCAATAATATTTAATAATCCCGCTGAAATCCTTGCAGCACTTTTGCCTCATCTCTCCTTCCCGCAAGGCTCTGACGTGAGTCTTGCATGGCATGCAGAGCTTCTTCAGAGCAAGCAAAGGTGCCACACGCACCCCACTTACTGCCAGGAGATAGGGGCAACTCTTTGCCTTCTTCAGGCTAGGACCTTTCCCTCCAGCCCTACTGCTGGGTTTGACCACAGGCCTGCCTCCGTTTCCCATAGAAGTCATCCATCTCCAGCCCACTGCCTCCACTCCTTGGAGGTTTCTGAACAGAGGTTGAATGGCTGCCTGTCTGGGTTGTTTTCTTTGTGGATTGCCCTTTGGGTTCCCTTCCTGCTCTGCAGCTCCATCATTTTGTGGTGCTCCTGGAGACATTCTGTTTGTGCAACGCGTCTATGTTTGCATACCCTCCAAACGTCCCAATTTGGCGGGGACACTTCCTCTGTCATCCCAGTTCTTCAGTTGTTTTTAAAATGCCCCGGTTTCCCCCTTCTCCTCCCACTTTCCTGTTTTGTCCTCAGCTTACTTCAGTTGCTGCAAACTTGAGTTCAAAGTCCCCAAATAGTTTGTAATCGATTCAGCAGAGGAGAGGGCAGAATTTTGCTCTTCCCAGGAGGCTCAGGCAAAAGCATACTGCCGCAGACCCTTCTGGCTCACATGTTCCTCCTCATTCATAAACTTTGTCATCTTTGACCACACTCTGATGTTGCTTGGCCACATGATGGAGCATATAACTTTGCAGAGCGCCACAGCTCTGACGTGACACGAATTGCTGCTGTGATGCAAGGGAAGTGGACTGAGAAGAAACTCTCCTCAATCTAAAAGGACCTTACCCTGGGAATCAGCTTTTGACAGTGACACACACCAGGAAGGCACTTCTTGACCCACAGCTTCAGGTTGCTGTGATGTGCCTTCAAGGCAATGCCAGCTCAAGGGGACCCTATATTGGGCTTTCCCAGGCAAGGTTTCTTCGGAGGTTTGCTAACATTGCATTCCTAGAGGCTGAGAGTGTGTGTCTTGCCCAAGGTCAGGCCAGGGAGTTTCCACTCAGATCAATACCTCATGTGGGCTCCCCATCAGATTTATTTCAAGGAGGTCTGCCATAGCTTTAAGGCTGAGTGTGAGACTTGCTCGAGGTCGCCAAATGGGTTTCCCTGGCTGGGCAGGGATTCAAATCCTGGTCTCCCAGTTCTTGTGTGCCTCCAAGTAGTTTCCGACTTATGGTGGCCCTAAAGCCTAGTTAAATATTCAGATCCCTACACCATACCAACTCCTGTTGACATGACTTAAGGGAGCCCTATCCTAGAGCTTTCTTGGCAAGAAAGGTTTGCCAACGTTGCCTTCCTCTGAGGCTGAGAGAGTACGACTTGCCCAAAGTCACCCAGTGGGTTGCCATGGCTGAGTGTGGATTCGAACCCTGGGCTCCTAGAATCCTCATCTGAAACCTTGAACAATTGCACCATACTGGCCCTCTTGACTTGCAAAATCTAGACATTTGACCCTGGATCTGCTAAATGTGTTGCCAAAAGGCAGTAAAAATGCAACCTTCTCCAGACCCCATTACCACAAAGACTCTTTAATGTCTTTTTACACTAACGTGGGAAATAAAATCTCCTTGTCTCTTGCAATGGGAGAAAGGCAGAATACATCCGATCCATCAATCAGTCATTAATTGAACCAGTCAGCCGATCAATCTCGATCAATCTCTGGCAGGATCCTCCGGGTGAAAGAAAGACCAGGCAATGGAAATA